GAATTTTGAAAAGCTGGTTATCTTGGATAAATTATCCAATATTATATATAACAGTTTTCTCATCAACTGGATTTTCTGGATTTCTAAAGGTTAACAATTCAGTCATAGGTCAAATATTGTGTACTTTAACATTTACATTTTATGAAATTCAAATGACCAACAACCCAAGAACCTATATATTTTTTCAAATGTTTGTCACTTTGAAGGTAAAGGTAAATCCTACCTAGTTCGGGGGTATACTGCTGTCCAGTATTGTCGGCGTCTCCTTGTTCTCCGTCCACTTTGTCTGTGGGCAGTCGATGAGACCTTGTTGCTCTGTGCTTGAGAGGGTCCATATCTCCATTCTGAAGTCCATTATGAGGAACCCTCACAGGAGGGACAAAATGAGCCCCCATTGACACTGGTGCCTTGTATGTCATGGATTTTCTCATTCTGTCCCCTAAAAGGTGTTTTCCAGGTCCGACACCTATCTTTCTGTGCTTCTGAGTGGCCCCTGACGCGCCACTCCCAGTTCCTAGAACAGTTCCTAAACCAACCCCCACCGCTGGGCCACCAGTCCTTCTCTTTTTGCGGGTCTCAGACCTAGCTTTGGCATGTTCTGTTGCAGGTTTGTGGTTCGTAAGGAGGGACTCGCCGCGGCTTTTTGATACTTTGGGTCGTTTGTGTGTGTGCAGTCTCAAACTGTTGAACTGCTCAATGAATTCCTCACAGTGCAGTAGGTGGTTCTCTGGCTCCCATGTGTCCTCCTTACTCCCATAACCCTTCCACCTGATCAGGTACTCCCACTTACCCTTCTTGTTCCGCCTCTTGTCCACAATACGTTCCACCTAAAAGCATAAACGTACATGTTATTAGACTATTAGATGTAATTCAATGACGTATTGCATATTATTGTACATTTCCTTTTAGCTTGGGGAAATAAATGAGTGTTTTGAACAAAAGTGTCAGCCAGCGGTTCCATCATGACTTTGCTCTCTCTTTTTAGAATTCAAACGACAGAGTTAACACCCTAATGGTCAGACATCCATTCGACGGATTGCACAATTTCTTTAGACAATGACTTCTCACATTTTCAATCCACCCAACCAGACAACTAAAGTTCCTGTTGTTCCAGACTGTGCTGTCACTAGACGTTAGTCACAGTGATCCACTTGACATTTAGCATGTCTGACACGTTCTAGGTTCATCAATTTGCCCATTTTTCATTAGTTAATGTGAATTTGGGCCATGCTGACAAAAAGGCTTGGTTAAGAAAATTAACTTTAAAAAATCTATCACCTAGAATGTGAGAAGCAGAGCAGCTTCCTTCACTTGATCTGTGGATATATGTAGGTATTTATTTCTTTTCTTGAATATTCCTTTTTTTTT